AAAAAAAAAAATTATGTGCTATATAAATTGAAGGACTATGTAATGGTCAAGGGATTGTTATTGCGACCATTCAAGGAGCCATAAAAGAGCAAGTACAACTCATTGAGTCATTTAAAGGGACACACTTAAATTCTTGGGAAATGAGTTTTTTTCTTAAGAAGTAAAGGTTTAAAAATGAACAGATGGCACCACGGGCTCAGGTAGAAAGCAAATTTTTTGAGAATGATGAGGGCAATAAATGCACAGATGTGCTTGACACAATGGATGTATGTGTGGGTTGCGATAAAAGCTGTATGAGCCCCCAATAAAATGATTAAAAAAAGAACTAAAGGCTTGAGTAAAAATATGAAATGTTAAAAAAATTTTAAAATAAAGCAAGTCAGAGGCGATAAATGGAAAAAGATTTCTCTCTATGTTTTCACACAGACCACTTCAATCAAGTGAGTCACGTGAATTTGTGGGTTTCCAGGTACATATAAAAGTTGTATATCGATTTCAGTCTCAAGAAGGGAACACAGAATATATGGGTACTATAGCAAAGTGTGGTGAAAAAATTCGATGGTGCCTACCTTCTATTTATTTATCAGATAAAATGGCATCTGGGGTCTTAAAGGCTTGTTTCCAAATAAGCAGCATTAAGTGAGATGTCAACTAAGTCTATATGAAAGAAGTATAGCATCAGTGACTGAAGGATTGCAAATCATATAATATGAAGTCAGAGGAGGGAGTAGTATTAGAGCCTAAACTGTGCGAATCTGGCTTGCAGAAGACCATGGATGGCAGTGGGCCTGAGACACATTTGTGGGTCTACACAGGAGATAAGCCTCTGGTGACTTCCCTCTATTGCAGAGGGACTGGAGGAAAGTGGTCACCAAATCAAGAGTGCATTGGGGAGATGACTATAAAAGATTAAAATGATCAACCTGACTTGAAGACTTAAAACCAGATCCTGATCTTCTGGTTTTCAACATTTTTTGTTTGTTCTTATTTGGGTCGATCTCAGATGTGTTATATCATCGGGGTGGGGTGATGGGGTGGGGGGTGTCACTCTCTTTCCACACAACAGGTGTACATGTTGATTTTCTTCTTTTATTTGCGACTTTTTCTGAGATTTTTCTGAGATTAGGGATTTTACATAAAATAGTTTTTCTTTAATACTTTAATTTTAACACCAGTAAATCACTCAAACTTGTTAAAAGAACAGTTGATAAAGTGTTCACTTAGCTAACATAATTCTTACTTGAAAACTAACAGGGCTTGAAAAAACACAACATAATTTCCAGGAAGATCCTTACCAGAAACATACCCCTCCCAATGATTACGTATCAACTCCTCCATCCAGCCCAGAACTCCGCTCCACACGTTGTCAAACACATGTGCAAGGACACCCTCTTTCATGCAGTAAAACGGAGCAATGGGAGGGTGGCCTAATTTCTGTTTCTCTGCAGTCACTTCTGATTTTGTTCCACAAAACTCCTCTTCCCTGTAACAGAAGAGGAAAGACTTCATGGTTATTCTTAATTGTTATTCAATAATTGTTCACCACGGTTCTGTGTGTTTGTTAAGCATGTTATCTGTGCCCCTCTCCTACCTCTTCCAATGCAAAGAAAACCAGAATCTTCACAACTGGACCCATAGTAACATTATAATAAATGGACAAAAGATGAAAAACTCTCAAGGATTTCATCTAACTTGGATTCACAATCAATGCCCATGGAAGCACCAACCAACACATTGCATTCGGTAAATCCTTTGTACAAGACGTCTTTAAAGTTTTGAAATGCAAGCACATTCCTTGGAGAACTAAGGTACGCCTGACCCAAGCCATGATATTTCCAATTGGCTCACATGCCTATGAAAGTTGGACACTGAATAAGATGGAACAAGAGTTGGTACATTTGAATTATAGTGTTGGTGAAGAACATTGAAAATACCATGCACTGGCAAAGAATAAACCAACGTGTCTTGAAAGAGGTACAATGAGAATGCTCCTTAGAGGTAAGGATGGCGCGACGTTGCCACACACACTTTGGACACGATGCCAGGAGAGACTGGTCTCTGGGGAAGAAGATCATGCTTGGTAAAGCGGAGGCAGTGACAAAGAGGAAGGCCCTGGAGGAGATGGGCTGTGACTGCGACGAGGGGCTCAAACATAAGAACAATTATGAGGATGGCGCAGGGCTGGACTGTGTTTCTTTCTGTCACATTTAGGGTTTCTATGAGACAGGACCAATTTGATGACACCTAACAATCTCCGCCTACCTCTTGCTCAGCATGTATACCACGTGCATGAAGGTACCATGTGGTGTAGGCAGTTGTCAATATTTCCCTCTCTGTCTCTACCACATCTCCACTACTCTGCCCAAACGTAGAATATGACAAAGAAGGGTGAATGGAAACAATGAGACCAACAGATTCGTGAGCATCAGTCTGTGAGCTGGGCCTGTGACTATGTGCACTCAACATATCAATAAACCCGGCCCAGAAGGAAACAGGATGGCAGAGAGAAGTGAGTCCAGTATCATGTGACACACTACGGAACATAAGTAAAGCCTTACAGCCTCAATGAAAACTCTGCACCCTTCAGTGGTGCTGCTCTGACTATCAATTGTGGAAAGTCTAAAGACCTAGATGAATAAGGTTTGTTTTCAGCTTTACCTCAGAGTCTCAATTTCCTCTTTCCTAAAAAGGGTAAATAGTATCTATACCACAAGACTATTGTAAGAATACAGTAATAATGGATATAAATAAGCTTTATTATAAATTCTGGTGCCAAGTATAAGGTTGCATATAAACTCAAATAAATTGCATACACTTTTTCAAGTAGAAATTATGTTAGCTAAGTGGACACGTTATTAACAAATTTGAGTGTCCGAGTGAATGACTGGTGCTAAAATTAAAATATTAAAGAAAAACAATTTCAAAGTAAAATCCCTAATCTCGAGAAGAGGCACAAATGAGAAAAGCAAACGAACATGTATACCCGGCATGTGGGAGGAATAGAACTTAGTTCCAACTAGAGCATCAATTCTGGAACAGTCCTCACAACAGTGAACCACCCGAGAGCCCAAAGGTGCAGCTTGAAACAAAGCTCAGCGGCATGAAGGGCAGGAAATACAGACGAATGGAAATGGGGAGTCCTGGAAGGAAGTGGGGAGAAGGTTCCTTCCACTGAGGAAATCGCAACAAATGTGATAAAAAAAATTTGTAAAAATTGTTGAATGGAAAAGTAATTTGCTTTGTAAATTTTCACCCACCCCCACCCTCCATACACACAGGAAAAATAATGTGAATTCTAGATACCTGAGAAGTATAAAAAAATAAACAACAGAAATTAATATAGACCCAAATATAGGTAATATGGGGAGTAGGTTTTAGGAAATAAAAGATGAGAGGAGTGACGAGCTTAACGAGGCATGACACTCACAAATCTGTGTGGTCATATGCGAGGTATTCCTCTATTAATCCTTCGGAGACGATGACACAATCTTCCTCTTCCCGGTTCATGGAACACAAGCTAGGAGATTTGGCAATGGAAGATGCTTTATGAGCATATGAGGAGGAAAAATTTACCTTCTTTCCTCTTATACCAAATCTGAAAGGACAAAGTAGATATCCATTACGCCCAACCTTAACAGCTCTCTCAGTCGCAAACCCTCATCTGAGTTGCAGCTCAAACTCCCTTGTCCTGGTGACGCCTAGGTCACAAAGAACTTGGACAGTCTATGATTTCTCAGAACAAAAGAAGAAATACTGACCCAGCCCTGTTCTGCCACTATGTACTTTCTAACACTGCTCGCTGTCTTCCAGCTAGAACAGATAGCTATAAAGGTTTACACAACCCAAGAATATTCACACTCATAATTTTATCTTGAAGGTATCTCAGACCCAGAATAAAACCATACCCAAAGTGAATGGCGGGGGGTGGGGGGTAGGGTGGTGTGTGTGTATGTGTGTATGTTTGTAATGGAGACCCAATGCCCATCTGTAGACAATTAGACATCCTCTCACAGAGGGGTCACAGGGAAGAGATGAGCCAGTCAGGGTTTCACGGATGAAACACACAACTCTCCTCTAGTTCTTTGGTGCATCCTTCTCCCCACTATCATGACCTCAATTCTACCTTACAAATCGGATTAGAGCAGAGCTTGCATATTGCTACAGATAAGAGCCTGCAACACGGAATCCAGGGTAGATAAACCCCTCAGGGCCAACAAGGAGAGTAGAGATACCAGGAGGATTAGGGGAGGGTGGGGGTCGAAAGGGGGAACTAATTACAAGGATCAACCTAGAACCCCCTCCTAGGGGGATAAATAATGGAAAAGTGGGTGAGGGGCGATGGAGGATGATTTAAGATATGGGGGAAAAAAATTTATAACTTAGCAAGGGTTCGGGAGGGCGGGGGAAGGAGGGGTAAGAAATGGGAGCAGATATCAGGTGCTCAAGTGGGAAGAGAATGCTTTGAACATGATGGTGGCCTATGTACAAATGTGCTTGACACACTGGATGAATGTATGGATTGTGAGAAGAGATGTAAGAGCCCCCAATAAAAGTATTAAAAAAAAAGAAACAGAAACTTCTCCCCTACTAACTGCCACCACACTGAGCTTTAAAAAAGGTAAATGGTAGTAGCAGAATTTCAATCTTGAGTGTTTTTTTTTAAATGGTTTAGTGCTCTTCCACTTATTATTATTTTGATGTGTCACCCTAACTAATGTGATCAATGACATGGTAAGCTATTCCCAATTCCTCATTACCCAAATCAGCTCTTGTTGCTTGAACAGGGAGCCTCCAGGAGCACAGCAGCACTGGAAGTGAATCTGCTGCATGCTGCACTCACGATGGTGAGGCAGCTAGAGACCACAGCTTGCTGTCACTTCTCAACATTTTTTTAAAAAGCATTTTACACTCTTTCAGACTCAATGTTTTTTAAAAAAGCATGTTAATGTCTTTCAGACCCCAAATTAAAAAAAAAAATCTACATTTATTCTAAAATCAGTGGCTAGAGGATATCTATAGAGAGATAGAGATACAGAGGTATAGATGTCAATCTAGATCTGAGTAACAAAAAGATCCTTAAATCCCAGGC